TTGTTAAAGGAATAGGGTACCACGCGTGAGATAGCGTATGGTACGTTTGGTGCCAAAGCATCATTTAATTTCCTTACCCCAAATAAAACCTCAAATCCTTTCTTCCACCTCCTCTGCACTACACCAGACAAAGAAGGATTTTCCACAGAAAAATCAAAGACTGTGCTAAATTTGCTTTAAATATGGAAGGCGAATCCAACAGACATATGATGCAAAACAAAGTTTGGAGTTCTTAATTTTAGAATAGCTTCGAAATTCGGCCGAACTGTCGACATAAACTGAACAATGAAGTGAAAAATTGTCGGAAACATGCAGGGAATGTCCATAGTTTGTGCGGATTTGGAATTGAGTTGCCACTGTTCTGCTGCTTGAACGGTTTGTTCAACAACGAAGATAGCCGGTGAATTTAACGAGATCATTCTTTTGGTTACGCAAATAGCAATTGTTTTGGCATAAGTTCCGCGATTAATAGCCCAAATGACGTCATCGGAAAAGCACAAACAGCTGTTGACATCCAGAACGGTGAACTCGGACAGTAATGTTCGAATATCTCTTTCAGCAACAGCTTGCATGCAGACTGACGAGCAACAAAAAAATGGTTGGAAGGAAACAAAGATCAGGATGGAGATAGGAAGCGCTTACGCTTGGATGAAGTATGAATAAATAGGATTATAGCGATGAGGAGAAGACAAAAGAGGGAGCTAGTCCTCTTCAGAGGTCAACATATGTTGCCCTATCCCTATGACGGAAGTACGTAGTCCCTTCAACACTCCACTCTTGAGCTCTTATGAGCAAAATTTGTTAGAAACTATGGCAACATAAGAAGATGACAATGCACTTAGAACTTGGCTGAGAACGAAATCATTTAGCTGCCTTGTACATGTATCAAAGTCTGAAAATCACACTATGCGCAACTTTATATATCTCTGCTGTTCTGGTTCACCGAGAAACGCGCTTCAAGACACCCTTTCTATTAACTTCTCAATCAAAGCGGCAATAACTCTTTTGATTATGCTCATATTTAAGTAGCTAAGAAACGAGAAAAAAATTTAATCGAATCGCCATTTTAAATCCTGAGCACCATTTCGAACAGCCCACCCTGGTAAATTTACTCGGAGGACTACATTTGCTTTCCAGCCAGAACGGCTTGTTCACACGCACTTTTGCGCAAGCATCTCTCATTTCAAATGTGCTACGAGACACACTTCTTTAGGCAGAACAGGACACAGCTACACGAACGGCACGGTCGACAAGCCGAAGTACAGCCGCCCAAGGCGGTGGCCGCTTGTCGGCGGAATACCGCACGGATCTGGCGGGCATAATGAAAGAACATCCGAAGCCGGTACGGTCAATGCATTTTGTGTGAATTTCGCCGAGCTCAAGCGGTCAACACGGTCACTGGATCAATACGCAACCGCAGGGTGTGAGGCTGACGGCTCCGCTGAGTCTCCTCAAGCTCTTTAGGCGTGCACAAGAACGTTACAGGCTTAGGCTCCGGTATGAGCCATGTCCGCATCATCTGAAGCCTTGTTTCTGCGGATTTCGCTATTTCAGGCTCCTTCATCTTCCCCCATCTCTTACGACTTGCTTCGTTGACGTCGACCCTACATCTCTTAGTTGCTTCCCCTCAGTCTAGTTGAGGCATCCCATTAAACAATGCACACCACTTTGGGAAACTGATTCAAAACCTCTAAAAATTCCGTTGTGTAGCTCCATGTTCATCAATTTTTCTTCCTCAGCCGTTCGAAAAAAGAGGCTTCGCGTTTTTTGCGATTGCTTCTTTTGGACATTATTCTGCGTTACTGGGACATGTCTCGCGTCTGCTCGCGTAGCGTCAGAATTATCTTGAACTTTGTTGCTTCATTATTTCGCTATGTGCACTGTATAGTACAGTGCAATGATAGAAAATAAGCCTTATTCTTTACTTTTTTCTTGCGAAATGCTCTTCGAGTTTCGTACAAGCGGCTCAATCTTGAAAATGCATACGCCATACTAATGATACCAATCATACATACTGATATCCTAAAAATTTTGAACATCTGCTATTGATTGTGCTGCTATACAAAGAAGCTACAGGGACTGTTCAAACGTATAAAATTAGCTCTGTAAAGTTCCCTTGAGGTTTGTTGGACGATATCATCCGACAGGTCAACTATGTTATTTCTGGACATCGAGAACATCGAGTAGATATGATTATCCCTACAGTACGCTGATCGGTAGAGATACAGTACCAAGTATGAACATGCAATTTCGCCGCGCACCCTTCAGATGTTCCTCTTGAAAGCTTATGGGATATCATCTTCCTTTGGTTAGGATAATTGCATCGTCGAGCTACTTTAAAAAACCATAATCAGTGCAACAGCTTATCAAAATTTTAGTAGTACGCTTCTTCTACTTCTATGAGCTAAGATTTCATTTTTACTTCATTTCCGCCATGTAGTTTCAAAATTAGTTAATAACTCCAAAGCTTACCTTTAGAATGTATTTTTATATCACTGAGATATCCTGCTGGAGTTCTACAAGTACCTTTTTAAGGAAGTCCTGCAGCTGCCGTCGTGCAGTCAGCTGGCAAAGCAAAGAACGAGTTTTTTCTTGAAATGGAACCAATTAAACGTTCTTTTTCTATGACATCTGCAAGTATGTCAGATCTCCAAGGAAACTCGTATATCGAATCCTCGGAATTCGTCCACATTCGGTTTCAGTCAAATGACTACAGTTTTTGCAGTTCGTCGCGTCAAGGAACGACCATTACGCGCACTTTGCGTATTGCACGCGCCTTCCACAGCTAGCTGCTGTTTGCATGTACATGGATCGCATCCAGTTTGTGTTTTGTTATGAATTAAATGCTGTGGTTTGTGAGGGTTAAATTCTCGTTCATTTGATGAAGTTCCGTGATTTGCACTTCTGTATTTCCATAAACTAGGTTCCGCCAGCGGGTTCGAAGAGCGAAACGAGTTCGTCCAAACGTTTCTGCTACGAAGTGCCGCTTTTTCCATCTAGTCTACCTCTGCATGAAAAGTTTGGCACTTAAGCTCTTGTAGATCATTTATCAAGAGTGAAAAATGTTTATTTTTTTCTACGCGTTTTCTATTCTGCACACGCAGCTGTTGTTTTGCCTTTTGCTACAACCGTTACAGCATGGGCCATGTGCATTTTTCGTCATTCAGCTTATTCCAACTTATTTTTTCATTGGAATTCGACAGAGGGAATAAGTCAATTCGTTTATTGCGCTCGATATATTTGTCGGTTAAAAGAAGTAAAATTTAGTCATACCGCAACTCCGGAAGCGCAATTTATGTTGGTTTTCGTACTCTGCAGTAGAAATCAAAGCCATAAATAGCGCTCAATAACTTGACATAGCCAAAAATCTACCCTATCAACAATTCTGACCAGAAGTCAGAGTGAAACTTTGGCTTTTTTGGAAAAGAGCTCTATGATATACTAAACATACGAATCACAATTGGTTAGCAGTGACATTTTATAGTTTTCAGCTTTAGGGAACTTGGTCTACTGTGAGGGGAAAAAACTTGAATATATCCAGGTAATTAAAGAATTGTTAGTTGAAGTCATTCAAATGGAGGTAGTCCCACAAAATTGGATTGTTCATGTAGTATTATTCAACTTCTTTCATTTTCGCCGTTGCATAGCTAGTTCATATATATGTTTCGTTTGGCCATTTGGTACATGCTGTTTGTCAAAAAATCACAAAGTTCACTGGTGAGGCGTTTTGCTAGTAT